GTCTTAGTTTCTGTTGCTTATCTACATGTCTCTAGTGAGATTAATCCTTTGCTGTCCTCTAAACATGCTGTGCTCTTTGTTCATAGTGATCCTTCCTACAGGAACGGCCTTCCTTCTCTTGTTTATATGCGTACCCTAACCACCAGATGAAATTGAACTCAAGGCCACCTATTTGTGAAATCCACCAGGGCTCTTCTAATTCTCATCGGTCCTTCTGAAATGTTTTATACTGTTCAATGCTATTTTTGGTGATGTAATCTTGTCTCTCAAGATTAAAACTACAAACAGCATGGACCATCGTCTTTTTTGGTATCTCAGAAGAAATTAGTAAACTTGTTATCTAAATTTGTATTATTTTTGCATCACTGTGCAATTCACAACCCACCATACAGAAGAAAAGAAGGAAGATTAAACATTGTTCAGCATTTCAGTTTTTCAGCAGTATGAAATTTACATGTTTATTGGTTTTGGCACAAATGTCAAGTAAAAAATGTGTGTGTGTGTATTATTCTTATAGTTAAGAGGCTGCTGTGTATCAATCACATAGAATTTCAGTCTATTTGATATATTTACATTATGTAGTAGTCTGTTGAAATTGAAAGAAGATAATCAAATTGAGAAAACCAGGTTGCCTTAATCCTTTTGTTATGGGTCATATTACTTAAAAGGTAAGCCTTAGAGTAATAGGAAAAAATAAATACATTACTTGCCCTACCCTTCTCTTCAGAGCAATGGGACCTGCCCTGCCTTGCAGTCAGGCTAGTCCTTTATCTATGCGGTCTGTGTATACCGTGCAAAGTCAAGTCACTGGCCTTTTATTTTTCAGTTTTATGTGAATGCATAGAGAAAATAAGCATTTTTTTATACAAAGACTGTCTCTGTAACATACACAAAGTGGTTTAAGAGATTTGAGAGAATTTTCTGAATAATTGTGAACTATAACACTTCTATTACATCTAAAATATCATGCTAATGAATTTTTAAAATAGCTGTATTGAGGTATTATTAACATACAATAAATTGCACATGTTGGAAGTGTACAATTTGATGAGTTTTGACAAGTTCATACCCCTGAAACCATTACCACAATCAAGATAATGAACATATCCATCACCCCCCAAAGTTTCCTTGTGCTCCTTTGTAATTCCTCTCTCCACGCCTCCCTCCCTGCACCTGCCCATCCCCAGGCAACCACTGGTCTGCTTTCTGTCACTGTACATTAGTTTGCATTTTCTAGAAGTTCATATAAATGGAATCATACAGTATGAACTGTTTTTTGTCTGGCTTCTTTCACTCAGCTTAATTTTTTTGAGATTCATGCATGTTGTAGCATATTTTAGGACTTCATTCCTTTCTATTGCTGAGTAATGTTATGTATATGCCACAATTTGTTTATCCATTTATCTATTGTTAGACATTTGGGTTTCCAATTTTTGGTTATCACCAAAAAAGCTGTATGACATTTGTGTACAAGTACGGACATATGCTTTCATTTTTCTTAGGTAAATACCTAGAAGGAGGTCTGGGTCGTATGGTAGGTGTTTATGTTTTAAAGAAACTGCCAGACTGGTATCCAGAGTGCTTGTACTATATTACACACAAGAGTTCCGGGTGCTCCACATCTTGGCCAGCACTCGGCGTGGCAAGCCTTTTAAATTTTGTGTGTGTGTGTGTGTGTGTGTGTGTGTGAGGAAGATCAGCCCTGAGCTATATCATCTGATGCCAATCCTCCTCTTTTTTTTCTGAGGAAGACTGGCCCTGAGCTAACATCCGTGCCCATCTTCCTCCACTTTATATGGGACGCCGCCACAGCGTGGCCTGACAAGCAGGGCGTCGGTGCGCGCCTGGGATCCGAACCTGTGAACCCTGGGCCGCCGCAGCGGAGCGTGCGCACTTAACTGCTTGCGCCACCGGGCCGGCCCCACAAGCCTTTTAAATTTTAAATATTTTAGTAAGTATGTAGTGGTATCTCGTTGAGATTTTAATTTGCATTTGCTTGTTGATTAATGATGTTGAACATCTTTTCGTGTGACTATTTACCATCCACATATCTTCTTTGGTGAAGTGTCCATATCTTTTATCCAGTTTTTATTGAGTTGTTTTCTCATTATTGAGTTTTAAGAGTTCTTTATATTTTCTAGATACGCGTCCTTTATCAGATAAGTGGTGTGCAAGTATCTTCTCTCAGCCTGTGGCTTGGGCAGGTGAATTCTTCATCCCCCATCTATATCGAGGCAGCTCCAGGATTCCCATGTCTGGAAATTAGGAGGCATTGTGGGTTGGGTCCCAGCTCAGCCGGGCAAGTGTTGCTGCCAGCTAATAATGGGTTTTTAAGAGTAAATTTTGGTATTTTTCTTGTTTATAAATGTAAAATTTGCTCATTGTAGACAATTTTTAAAATACCAAAAATTGTAAATAAGGAAAGAGACTGGACTATGCTCAAGAACTCCAAGCAGAAGCAGCCCAGCTGTCAAGGCTGTGTACATCAGAAGCACGAGTGCCTGGGCTGCCTGTGCGCTAGGCTTGCGGCAGCAGGACTCTTCCAGGGGCTCTTAAATCACTCTGAGTTTTGCTAAGGGTTGGCTCAGCAATATGGTAGGCTGAGGTTGCACTTTGTTCCCCCTAAATGTAAGTTGAGAGCTGCATTTGCAGTGCGCGGTCAGTATCTGGGCTAAGCACTTAATAAATGTTTATAAATCTAAAGTAAGTGAAGGTCTTGAACATAGATGTTGTAGAATTAGTAAATGTCTTCAGAACATAGAGCTGAGCAAGTCTTAGAAAAGTAGGGCTTGATAAAGACAGAAGTGGAATTAATCAAATGTATTTGACTAATTAGGAAATATTATATTAAAGTCCAACACAAATGTCATAAGTGTTAAGGGCTCCTTGTCTCTGGTGCTTTGTTGATGAAAAGCATTCAGTTGGGTGCCAAAAGGACTTGGTTTAAAGTTCTAGGTCTGCTATTTACTGGCCACATAAACTTGGACCAATACTTAACCTACTTTACCTCAGTTCTTTCACTTACACGTTGTGAATAATTACGTGTACCTGGCGGGGTGACTGTAAGGTTATAGCAGACAGAGTGTATAAGGCATTTTGGTATAGTGCCTGACACATTGCAGGAGCTCAGCAAATGTTAGTGGGGTTTCGTTACTCCCCTTCTCCTTCTCAGATTCTAGTCTTAGGCAGGGTAACTAAATCTGGCTACTGGAGTGGTGACCTAACCATGCAGCTTTCCCACTGTGGGAGTCGCTCATAGAAGGGAGATCTTAGAGTGGTATTCGCCAGCCCCACCAGGATAAATTTTTACACCACTCTCTATGTTTTCAGAGATATAAAAAAAATATCATAGGATAAAGATAATTTGGTTATAAATTTTAGGGTCTCAGGACATAGTCTTATCGTGCATGGAGTGATTACTCCAAAAGTATACGGTTAGACTGACTTTAGGTACCTAGTGGAATGAATTATTAACGTCAGCAGTTAGCATTAGTCATACAAGGGAATCCCAAGACTTGTGTTGTAAAATTGGAGCCTTGTTCCCCCGGAAAAACATCTTAAGGAAGGAGTTAAGGTGGAGTGATAGATGTGAGGGTGACTGGTACTTTTGTAACAATTTTAGAGCTGTTTTGGATGGATATTTGTAGTAAACTATTTTTGTCATTCGGAATTCTTTTATACCATCTTTGCTCCCTTTCTCTTATTCCTGACCTGTTTCTTCCTTGCCTGAAAGTTTCTTGACTCTTCAAACCTAGGTTATCCCTCCTTCTCTAATATGTTTGGAATTTTTTAATGTCCTAAAGTGACAGACTATAATGTTACGCATTGCCAGTAAGTCGTACTATCAACAAACTGATAACAGCCTGTATATAGTTTAAATTCGATGATTTAGGTCATGAAAAACCTAAATGCTTCGCTTAATTACTTAAGTTAGAAATTCTGTAACAAAATACTTGAATTAAAAAGAGATTGTCTTGGGCCGGCCCGGTGGCTTAGCG